CCTGTGTTTTCTTTGATGGGATTTTATTGATGTCACATTGGCAAAAGGATTCGAAGGTGCTTATTTCGATTAAATCCGATGAGTATTAAGAAAGTTATGATCGTTTAAAGTGAAACACTCAAAACGCTGAGAACTTTTCGGACAGCCTAATAGCTGTTAAGATAGTAAAGTTCTGTTCCTAGATCGGAATATTGTTTTCATCGCTGATTATTGACCACTTTGGTCGTCGACCATTACTGCTTTCAACGTATGGCTCGCTAGCTGTCATCAACCTCGTCATTTCTGGCCTAATGTTTGGTTTCCAACAGAAGCAGGTACGAATATTGGTATTCAACTTTCATGAACTGCACGAGGCTGCTGAATGGAGCGAGACTTTTATTCTCGGGCGCGTCCCGAACCTGCCACATCCCGAAAATGGCCGAAATAGGCTGTTTTCGCATCGCTCCCCCTCGAAACGGCTGAAATAGCCGATTTTTGCTGAATTCCGCCTGAGCGTGTTGCGCTCGGGCAGAAAACTCGTCCAAAGGGGAACCCCTTGCCGATTTTTTCCGTGAAAACTCGTCCAAACAGCCGCTCTTCGACGGGACAACGGTGGGATGCCTCATGCGACGGGACAACGATGGGATGCCTCATGCGTTCCCGTGGATTACTCTGTAGGAGCTTTCGAATATCTATTTGACCCAAACAATGATTTTCTGTGAATCATTGATGCTGCCTATACTATTTTATCATCTAGCGACAACCATAAAGACGTATCACATATAGTGCTCAACGGAACGGAACGTCGGGTCCTATATATGACAAGATCATAACTTCAGGAAATCAAGGTGCATACAGTACCCCAAAAAACTGCGTATGTATCGCGCCGTAAACGCGCACAACTGGGCGTGCCGTAACCGGTAAAATTACCTGAGTTCGAAGTAGTTTTATTAGACTGTTTTGTGCGTTTTCTACACAACCTTCGTGCCGGCAAGGGTTCCTTGGCGCGAGTAGGAAACCGATGGCGTGCGTTGTGCCTAAACCCGCGGTGCTCCCGTTGTTTGCACCCATTGCTCCGACACATTTATTTTCAGGTGCAATTCTCGGGAGTAGTGTGTGTACCCTATGAACTTATAAACACATCTACGTGAGTACGTTTTCGACAAAACCAGTCCGTTTCCACTGGTGGTTCCTCTATTGAGCAAGCTGGCACCGCGCCAAAACGTATGCGCTTAGGGACGCCCACACCCGAAGCTCGAATAAACGCTGAGTATGAGTTGCGAGCAGTACATGCAAATTATACGATAACTGAAGAAATATCCTGTAAATAGTCAGGACGTGAATTCTTTTTTGGGATTACCTGTAAACGTTACAGTAGTTCAAGCTCGCGGCTTTGAGTCCGCCCAGTAGTCCACTCAGCTACATATTTTTCACTTCTTCACAAAAATCGCTTGTTCAGAGCATCTTCTTCGGTTATCCTCTCTTGGCAGCAATCTGCATGTTCAATCTTCTATTTGCCGCCGGTCCCGGCCCCATGGCTTTCTTCATCACAGCTGAACTTGTCGATCAAAATGCCCGTGGAGCCGCCTGCACTTGGGTTACTGTGTTCATGTGCACTGTGTGAGTTTCCCTTCCATCCTTTCACCTTTCCTTGAGAGGTAGAACTTCGGAGGTGATCAGTGAATATGTTACAGAAGATCGATACTCGTTGCCAGCTATCTGCCCCTGAAAAACCTCATTGGTCAACCTATGGCTTACCTGTCGTTGTTCTTTTCGCCAATGGTTTGTTCTCTTTCACAGCTTCTTGCTTGTTAATTTTTCATACAAATTACAGCCGTGACCTTGGAAAACGCAAGGGTTTGTAAAGGGGCGTAAACTTTAGCGCCGTAAGCCTTATTCCCAAGAGAGAGATGGGACTGGTTTTGGAGCTGTCAAGGATGTTTTCGGGAAGGGTATCGATGCTGCGAACGTTGACAGCCTATCCAGGACAGTCGGAGTGGAATTCTCCCTCCATCGAATCTGGTGGGCGAATTTGTGGAAGGCACACAGCACTGAATCCATTACTTCCTGGTTCACGGATGTCGATACAGCAAACGAGGGTCCTAAGTTTAGCAAAGCCTCCATATCTTCATCCACTACGTCCGTTCCAATCACTGTGCAACGTTTCGGTGGAGTTGCATCAGGTAAGATAAAGTGCTGACTCCGAGTATGCACTTGTGATCGTAGAAACGCCAGC